ATTTCTCAGTTTCTCTCTCACTGTCTCAGTCTCTCATGCAAGTGCACATGCTCTAAAATAAAAAAAAAAATCTCTGTCTTTTAAAAAATATAAAGATGTGCTTCAAGGGATGGCTAAGAGCTAAGAAGTGGGGGAAGGAGAGTTCAGAGTTTTAGAACATGTTAAATAAGATTATAAACAGGTGTCCCCATTGCAGGACTTATTAGAGCCTTTAAGTTGGCTTGAGAGGTAGCCCTGTCTTATCTGACCATGTTCAAGTAGCTTGTTCCAGGGAACTGTTGGGAAAATGCTGGACTAGACAATTTCCATCAAGCCTCACATGTCCCTACCCACCCCCCCCCGTAGCTACCAGCCAAGAAATGTTCCCTTCATGGGCCACTGGGCCAGGCCTTGGCTAAGACAGGGACTGGAAAGCCCCCGAGGCCTCATTCCCACCCTTCTCCTTAATCCAGGGCTTCTGCCTGCCCTAGAGACAGAACCTTCTTTCTTTAGCTGGGCCAATAGCCTTCCTTGGGCGCTGACGCCTGCTTGGCACCTGGATTTCTCTAAGACATGCTGAGAAAACAGTCCCTGCAAGGGGCCTCCGGCTCCCCTGGCCTCCCAGTGAGGCTTTTATTATTTTTTTTAATCCTAATTACTTTTTTCTTGTTTACAAAAATTAAATGTTTTCATGGTAGAAAATGTAGATAGAAAGGCAAAGCAAAGGAAGACATTAAGAATCACTCATAATCCTTAAACTGTACAATAAACCATGGCGCTATGCAAATATATGCAAATTAAGCCTGGAGATGCTCTTCCTAACAACACTCTCTTTCAAGCAGGTTAACCCCCTCCTCAGGCCCCACTTGTGGAAATCTTAAAGCTGCTTTTGCTCAGAGATCCTTTCTTCCCTAACCCCAATACTTAATTTTCAGAGCATGGACAGAGAGAAAACTATTTATTTATTTATTTTTATAGAGGACACATGTGCTTGCCGGAGAGACAGAGAGAGATAAAGAGACAGAAAGCAAGAAATCACCTCCCAGGGGAGATGGCCACGCTGCAATCCCTTCTCCTCCATTCTCCTCTCAGAATTTTGGGCATGCACGCACATGCACCTGGCTTGTTTTCAGCTGCTGGATCTGGGACGCGAACCGTGGTTGATTACGTGGTAGTCCAGTAATGTAACCATTACACCATCTGCTGGTCCCAGATTAACTATTAATAGTTTGTAAGGGTCACTCCTTTCCCCAAGCATCAAGAGAGAAGTCACAGCTTAACACCTCACACAGTATTTTTATAAGTAACAAAGCAATTCCGTGACTCATTTCATTTGCTTTCTCCAGTAACTCAGGAAGGTCGGTGCTGTCATCCCCATTTTAAAGAAGGCTACACTGAGGCTCCATGGCAAAAGGAGGCATGCTGGGTGATGTTAGAGCAGGCGCTCAGGACTAAAACCCCAGCGTTCTGGAACATACCTGTGTGCTGTGGCATCTTTGCTCCAATCACTTTTTTTTCTTTTTAAGAATTATTTATTTAATTTCTTCTTCTTCTTCTTCAATTTGACCAGAGAGACAGAGAGAGGGGTAGAGAGAGTGAGAAGGCAAGCCACCAGGTCCGAGACTCAAACCTGGGTCGGCCATGTGGGAGTCCAGCAACATAACCAGCATGCCATATGCTGGCCCCACTCCAGTCACTTCTAAAATGTGACCTTGGGCACATCCCTTAACCTCGCTGGACATAAGTGTCCGCATCCACCTAATGGTAATAATACAGAGACCTGCTTTCTAAGGCTGTTGGAAGACTGATAGAGGCAGCGTGCTCAGCACAGTGGCTGACATGGCAAAAACGCTCCGTAAGTTTGTAGTTACTCTTATCATGGCCATCACTGGTTCTTACGCCCAAGGCACCAGGCATGCACAAAGATTCTGGGATGAAAAAGGGCTGAGTCAGAGGCACTGGCTGGTCCCCAGGGGGAGCAGGCCTCTGGAGGCCCAGGCTTCGGGGAGGGTACTGAGGAATAGCGTTTCTGGCCACAGGCCCAGGCTAGGGCCGGCAGTTGATGGTCACAGAGCTGGCAGCGCAGAATAAACCCTTCAAGTGACAGCACATTCGTGGGATAGCTTGTGCTGGTAGCCAGACGCTCCGGGTTAAAAACGAATTCCTGTAAACGTCCCCCTTTCTTCCCTGCTAGGGAAGAAAGAACTGGTATCGTCTTTCCTGTGAGCAATTTAGTAATACAGATTAAGCCGTTGGCATTCTAGAACTTGGAATGCAGCCTACCGAAGTCATCCAGCCCGGTGCAGCTACAAGATTGTTTAGAATAATGAGGTTCTTCCAGTCTGGACACCTCCTCCATGCGCCAAAGTCGAGGACTGGCCAAGTGACCTATTATATATTCCTTCAATAACGCACTGCGCAGTTGTTAGACGTTATGTTGTCAAAGACTATCAGTCACACAATAGAGTCGTGACACCGTGTTAGCAAGAGACAAAAACGGGTTTTAAGCACAATGCATAGAATGACCCCATTGGATAAGCTATGTGACATTGCTGTGCTGCTAAGAAATACAGTAGTGGCACCCTCAGGGTAATGGGGGATTTTATTTATTTATTTATTTTTATTTGCCAGAGAGCATGTACACCCACTAGAGAGAGAGAGAGAGAGAGAGAGAGAGAGAAGACATCCTCGCTTGGAAAGAATGGCTACACCATAATCTCTGTCTCTCTCTCTCTCTCTCTCTCGGGATTTTGGGCCCTCACATGTACCCAGCATGCTTCTCAAGTGGCTGAGTCCGGGACTCACACTGTGCAGTCAGCCACGTGGGAGTCAACTGCCTTAATTACCACGCCATGGGCTGGCCCTTAAGGGGAGTACATATATATTGTATTTCTATATAAATAATATAATATATATAAATAATATAAATTATATATATGTATATACATGGGCTATATATATATATAAAGTTTATTTCTCCCATGAGACAGAAAGCTACAGGAGACAGACCCCCCACACAGGGTCTTCGCACTGATCCCCCCCCAGCCTCAGCTGCTCTGGATCACGTGTGTATGTGGCATGTTTAGGACGGCCCCAGGATCAGAACCCAAGCCCTTTCCCATGTGGGCCCAGTTGTATTACTGATTAATTATTCCTTGGCCCCTAGAGGGTCATTTTGATAGTTTTTTCCCCCTTTATTTTCTACATTTTTCTAACATATTTATGCACTATCTTATAATCAGAAAACCGTTACTAATACAGGAACCATTGATGAAAAAATAATAAGATAATCACCTGTAAAATATCAATTTTAAACAATCTGGACTGTAAAAGATGCTGAGTCCTACAAGGTTACTTACAGTTTAGACACTGAAACCCCTCAGAAGGGCCTCCCTTATAAAGGAGGGTTCTTGACTCTGGAATGTGGCCTGGCAAATGAGGAGTGAGAAGTGATAGAAGCCAGCTGAGCTATTCAAGGGACTCATAGGGGCCAGTAGGTGGCATGGTGGTTAAGGGCGCTGGACTCCCACATGGCTGAAAAGCAAGTTCAAATCCCGAACCTGGTGACTTGCTTTCTCACTTTCCTTCTCTCTCTCTCTCACTTGTCCCTTTCTGGTCAAATTAAAATAAATAAATAAGTAAATAAATAAATAAATAAAGTTAAATAAAATAATTCTTTAAAAAAAAAAAAAGAAGAGATAGGAGCCCCAGGCTAAGCTCCCCTGTGTACCAATCTGGTTAGTTTCAGGATAAATTGGGAACAGCCTCTTTATTGAAGGAAAAAAGAATGAAGAGAGACCAAGAAGATAGGAATTTGTTGTAATAATCTGCAAGATAAAAGCCAGTCGAGGCGCAAGTCTTGTAATTTCGTCTTTTGCCCTCCCTAAGGAAAAAAGGAAAAAAAGAGAGGGGGGCCTCTTCTGCTCCCCATAGAAGGTGGGCTGGTGGGATTTCACGACTCTGGTTCCCTTGCTAAGCAGAGCTCCCTTAGGAGTGCCTGTGTGTTCGGGCAGATTGAAGCATTATTTCTGGGCTGTCCTTTCACTACTAGACATAGATAACTTGGCTCAGAGTTAATCAGGAGGTGGAACAGACAGAAACCCGAGGGCAGGGGGCACCAGGCCCCAGAACTTGGCCTAGATAGAGTCAGAGAGAGCTGATTTCAAACCCGGCGTTGCTGCACACTGGATGGGTGACCTTGAACCCATCACTGGGCCTCAGTTTCCCCATCCGTAACAAAGGGAGGAAGAAACCCGTGGTCAGAGTTAGGAGAGGGCTCTGTGGGTGGTAAAGCAAGCTGGTTGGCAAAGCAGCCCCTCAGCACACGACCCCTCTTCGTTCCCACCACTGGGTCTGGGACGCTAACCACAGGCTTCTACACTGGTTAGGGGAGATTTGGGAGACAGGGCGCACATTTCTGTGACTTCTAAGACTAACACTGCCTTGTCTACAAACCACGGTCAAAGCCTCCTCCCCGGCCATCATCTGATTTCACCTTCCAGCTGGAAAGGTGGTGTAACAACCGCCCTGAGCTCAGACACCCCGAGTTCTCACCAGCCCTGAGCCACACACAAGGCGGGGCAGAGCCAGGATGTGAGTCCTGAACAATGCCCAAGGGACGTAGTGGCTGACACGTGACAGTCTTCTTCCTTCCAGGCAAGCACGAAGAGAAGCAACAGGAAGGCGGCATCGTTTCCAAGAACTTCACAAAGAAAATCCAGTAAGTAACGGGGACACGTGTGACTCTGAGTGGGAGCCAAGGAGGGGTGTGCCTGGGACCCAAGATCTGGGGTCTGTCCCTCCTGAGCATCTAGTCTGTGAAATACCCCCGGGGCAGGAAATCGAACCCTCACAGCTAAAGGAGAAGACACGTCACAGCCAACCTGCAGTAGGGTCCCAGAAGGGGGGCACGTAGATTACAGTATCTCATCTGCTCAGTGACATGCGAAGTGGATATTAACAGTCCCAGGGTGCAGGTGAAGAATACAAGAGTAGGCCCAGCAGGTGGGGTAGTGCTTAAGGTACTGAACTCCCACATGGCCGACTGCAGTTCGAGTCCCAGACCTGACAGCTTGAAACTCACACTGGGCATGTGTATGTGTGTGTGCCCAAAATCCCAAGAGGAGAATGGAGGAGATGGGATGGTGGCGTAGCCATCTCCCTGGGGGACAGTTCCTCACTTACTGTCTCTCTCTGGCATGTGCACATGCCCTAAATCACTGAAGAAAAAAAAAAAAAAAAAACAATAAAATGAATGCAAGAGTAAGAGATGCGAACTGGCTTCTCCACAGTTTTGCTGAGAGCCAGTGCACCCACTTACCTGTACGTTATGTCTGAAGGAGGGTCCTCCCCATTTTCAGGAAAGCCCCTCCCTGATGCAGCAGATGCCCCCAAATAATCTTTGGAGGCTGCTTCCTGTGCCTTTGTCCCGTAACCAGGAAGGACAGTGTGTGTTTTCTCCGAGCATCCTCAAAGACTGAGCTGGCGGGGGGACACCTGGATGTCCCTGCTTACTTCCCAGAGCGGTTTGGAAGCTGAGAGTCTGAGATAAAGGGCACGTCCAGTGTGGCCAAGGGAAGGAGTAGAACAAGAAAGGGGGGCTGGGGGAATCTTGGGAACAAGAGGACAACCAGGCAGAGCTGAAGAATACTGGGAGTATCTGTAGGGGGACGAAACTCAGAGCGTTAAAGATGATTGCATTACATTCATGCAGCAACTGTCGAGTGCTTCACAGGCCAGGGGACTCCAAATGTTCATGGAGAATGTAATGGTTAAGGGGCTGGACTCTAACATGGCCAAACCGCGGTTCGAGTCCCAGACTCCACAGCTTGAGAATCACTCTGGGCACGTGTGTGTGTGTGTGCCCAAAATTCCAAGAGGAGACTGGAGGAGAAGGGACTGCAGCATGGCCTTCCCCTCAGGGGACGATCTCTTATTTTCCCAGATTTTTTCACTCTCCAGTGAGTGCACATGCCCTGTAGCAAAAACCTTAAATAAGGAACAAGGACAGTGCAAGTTAATGTGGGTGCAAAAAAACTGAAACCCACGCATAGGTTCCTGAGAATATGCATTTCCATGAACTCTTTGGCAGCCCCCATATACCCTCTCTCTAATTAGCATCGCTCTGCCGTGTGCGTTTCTGGCCCGGGAGCCTTTTTCCAGCCATCACGGTATTTAGCCTTTGAGATAAAGGTGAGCATTAGAGAAGAGACCTCCCCTCCATGGATGATGGGAAGCAAAGGCTCCCACAGGGGAAGGGACATACCCAAGGTCTTTACAACCAGAGCTTAGAACAGCCCAGGACAGATCCCTGTCCTCCGAGTTTCACACTCAGTCCTTCAGCAAGAAATGTCGTTTCTTCACCTGTAAAAGGGATGCCAAGGCCAGCATGTGGTATGGTAGTTAAGGTGTTGGATTCCCACATGGCTGTCCACTGTTCGAGTCCTGGACCTGACAGGTTGAAAATCACACCTGGTGCATGCGTGTGTATGTGCGTGACTAAAATCCGAGGAAGAGAATGGAGAAGGGACTGTGGCGTGGCCATCCCCCTGGGGAGTAATTTTTCACTTTCTCTCTCTTTCTCTCTGTGTATGTTTCTGGCACGTGCACACGCCCTATGGCAAACACCTTTAAAAGAAAAAAGGATGCTGATTCTAGCCTTGTGGAGTTACCAACTGCAAAATGAAATGAGATAAGGGCACGTAGTAGGTCCTCAGAAACGGCAATTCGTTATTCTTGTTGTTAATGGTGATGCATCTCGACTCCACCACTAGCCCTGGCAGAGTCGTCCAGTGCATGGAGCAATTGCTTTTAAATCCTGAGGCTCCTCGAGCTCTGGGATTCTGCATTCCCGTCTCTCCACACACGTGCCCGTTTCTGACCCTCCCAGCGCCTCTGTCCCGGGAAGCCCGCGGACACTTCCTGATAAGGCAAACGCCAGACGGTTTGTTCTCCTCGCTGGCTGGCTGGGCTGCCATCCCGTGACCCACACCTCTCCCTGGTATAGCAGCCAGATCCAATGTGCTGAGGGGGAGACAGGGAGAAGAGGGAGGGGAACTGGGGCTTCTTTGGACAGAGGAAAGAGTTCTCAGGACCAAGGGCCAAGCTGTAAAAGGGCTGAGCCTGAAAGAAGTCAGCGAATTAATTAGCCTAAGAGGACAGGCATTTTCTTGGGTTTTACCAGCTAAGAGGCCTCAGGAGAAACTGCTGCTCACACTTACCTGAGCAGAAAGTTCTTTCTTTCTTTTTCTCTTTCTTTCTTTCTTCTTTCTTTCTTTCTTTCTTTCTCTTTCTTTCTTTCTTTCTTTCTCTTTCTTTCTTTCTTTCTTTCTCTTTCTTTCTTTCTTTCTTTCTCTTTCTTTCTTTCTTTCTTTTTGAGATTTTTTCTATAGGGTGTGTGAACTCACTGGAGAGACAGAGACAGAAAGTGAGAAATCACCACCACCACCCTGACCCAGAGGGGATGGCCATGCCCCAATCCCTTTTCCTCCGTTCTCTTGGGATTTGGGGCATGCACACCCATGAGCCTGGCATGAGTTTTAAGTCAGCCAGGTCCAGGACTCGAACCATGGTTGGCCATGTGGAAATCCAACAATGTAACCATTATGCCATCTGTTGGTCCCTAGAGGTAGGGCTGTTGTTCAGCTGGTACTGAGCAGCTGAGCTGGGCTAGTTGTTAAAATATCAACTAGCCATTGCTCTAAGCCCCCTCCATGCCTCCCTGCCATCCCTGGCCATCCTGACTCTGTCCCCAGGATCCTCCAAACCTCCCAACATTCCAACAACTAGAGGGTCACCAGGACCCTCCTCCATCACTATGTCAAATATCCATCCCTTCTGACTGGCCAGTGTCCGCCTATGCCAGCTGTTACATATTCAAATATCACCCCTGAGAAGGGGGAGTCCTGGCTCCCTGAGAAAGCAACGGGGTAACTTTAAGCACCTTGCTTAGCTGCTCTGAGCTTCCATGTCTACATTCCTGCATGGCCAGGGTTGTGAAGGACAGAGACGATGTTCATAAAATGCATCTAGTGGGGCCGGCAGGTGGCGTGGTGGTTATGGCGCTGGACTCCCACGTGGCTGACTGTGCTTGGCGTCTGGGACCTGGTAGCTTGCTTTCTCGCTTTCCCTCTCTCTCTCGTCACTGTTTGTCTCTCGTGACCACACATGCCCTAAACACATGAACAATAATAAATAAAAATTTAAAAAATCTTTTAAATGCATCTAGTTCTGGGTATAAACTCAGGACTTGGTCTGTGGGAACAGATATTATTAAAAGACTCCAAAAGACTGGAGTCTCCCAAGAGCAGCTGGGACTCCTGGGACCTCCTGGCGCTGCCCGGACTTGAGACACAGGGGAGACAGACTGCAGTCTGGGACGACTCTGCGCCAATCTCAAGAGGCTTCTCCCAGGGAAAGGTCTGGTCATTAGAGGACAGGGGAGTTCCTTCAGCCAGGCGGGGATCCTTGGAGATTTCCAGCCAGACAGCACGCTGCAGCTGTCGCCTGGGCCACAGCTGGGACATTCATCCCAGTGTCCTTGTCTCCAGTGAAGGGTCCCATTTGGACTGGACGAAGGGAGAGGATGAGGTCTTAGACTGCTCAGTAGGTTTAGGGGCAGGACAGTCGGATAAGCAGCTGGGCTCTTTTCCTCCCCAACTGGGATAAGAGAATAGGGAACAGTGGCTTCAGGAAATTGTCAGAGGAGGATGGCTCCCAGAGCCCGGGCAAGCTTTAGGCCCTGGCTCCACACCTTCCCAGGTCTCTGTCATGCCACTGATTGATACCCACGATGTACCGAGAGCCACGTAGAGAGCTTTGTAAGTTTAATTTTATTTACTACTTAAAGGGGTCCCATTGAGTAGGTATTAAGTTCATCTTGTGGATGAAGAAACTCAAACTTAGAAGGTGGTGAGAGCCGACTGAGGTTACACAGCTAGTAAAGAGACCTTATATGGGGACCAGAAGATGGCGTAGTGGTTATATCGCTGGACTCCTACGTGGCCAATCACAGTTCAAATCCTGGAACTGGTGGCTTGAAACTCAGGCCAGGCGCGTATGCGAGCATTCCTAAGATCCTGGGAGGAGAATGGAAGAGAAGGGATTGTGGTGTGGCCATCACCCCTGGGGGGTGATTTCTCACTTTCCCTCTCACTGTGTCTGTCTGTTTCTCTCTCTGGTGAGCACTCATACTCTAAAGCAAAAACCTCTTTAAAAAAAAAAAAAAAGAAAGAAAGAAAGAAAAAGAGACCTTATATAAATATAGGTATGCCTGTGTAATTTTATTTATCGATGTCAATAAAGCTGCTTAACAGACCAGATATGGGATATGAACACAGACCTATTTACTTTTAAAGCCCTTAACTTTTATACCTAGAGGAAACCAAATTATAGTCATTTGCTTACTATTTTCACTGTTTTGTTTTCTGTCTTGCATGGTGTTAAGATTTTTTTTTTTCTAATTTTGCCAGAGGGCATGTGCACTCCTCTCTGGAGAGACAGAGAAAGCAAGAAAGCATTCCCCCATGAGGCACCATCATGATGCAACCCCTTTTCCTCCGTTTCTCACGGCTTTGGGGACTTTGGGTACCCACGCATACACACGCTGTTTCTCAAGCTGCCAGAGCCAGGACTTAAACTGTGGGATCAGCCAAGCGGGATTCAGCCACCTTAACCTCCATGCCACGAGCTGGCCCTATCTCAACAATTCTGTGCCTCATTTATTTACATCCCCAAACCATTATTTGGATAGAAGACTTTTTTCTTTGCAATCAACTCACTTTTGATAAATTATCATCACTAAAATGTTCACTGAAGAAGCTGATCATAAAATTAATCCAATGAAAACAAAATGTAGTTAAAGTGTTTTTTATAAATATTTATTTTTATTTATTATTATCATTTTTCAATTTGACCAGAAAGATACAGAGAGAGAAGAGAGAGAAGAGAAGTGAAAAAGCAAGCCACCAGGTCCGGGATTTGAACCACAGTTGGCCATATGGGAGTTCAGCATCTTAACAACCACGCAACCTACTGGCCCTGAAATTCTAACTAGAGAATGTTTCTTACCTGAAGGTACCTGAACCACGGACTTTCTTAAAAAGGAAAAATGCAATGGGGCCAGCAGGTGGTGAGGTGGTTAGGGCACTGAACTCCCATGTGGCCAACTGTGGTTCGAGTCCTGGACCTGACAGTTTGCTTTCTCACTCTCTCCCTCTTTGCTGAGTGCATGTGCCCTATAGTAAATTTAAAATAATAATAGAAAGGAAAGTAGCAGGTAATAAAGGCTAAAGATGTTAAGAGTATATTAACACTTAGCTGAGATACTTACTTAGGTGAAAAGGGAAGGGTTGAAAGAGAATTGGAGTGAGTTACCGGCTGGCAGGTGGTGTGGTAGTTCAGGCACAGGACTCCCACAAGGCTAACCACAGTTGAGTCCCAGACCTGGTGGCTTGTTTTCTCACTTTCCCTTTCTCTTTCTCTCTGATCAAATTTATATATAAATAAATATTTCTTTACAAAAAAGAAAAGAAAAGAAAAGAAAGAAAGATAATTGGAGAGAAATAATTTTCCCATCACCTGAGTTCAACATGCAGGTCACCTGGTGAGAGATATTAGATGAGTCTCTTCCCACCTCTGGATGTCAAGGTTTCTTTTCCTTTCTTGTTTTTCTTTTTCTTTTTTTTTTCTTTAGAGATTTTTGGTATAGGATACATGTGCTCACCAGAGAAACAGAAAGGGAGAAATCCTTCCCACCCCCAAAAGGGGATTTGCCAGCCACAATCCCTTCTCCTCCATTCTCCTCTCGGGATCTTGGGCACACACACACACATCCCTAGCATGGGTTTCAAGCTGCTGGGTCTGGGTCTCAAACCACAGTCAGCCACGTGAGAGTCCAGTGCCTTAACCACTATGGCACCTGCTGGCCCTGGGCCTCAGGGTTTCTGTGTGTAATATGAGAGCATTGTCCTGGAGAGTCAGGCCCTAACCTTCTGTGCTTCAGTGATACCACAACTTGTGTTAAAGGATCCCTGGCCTTGAACATGCTGCCGCGTAGGGCCAGTGGCCGCAGTGTAATTTTCACACCCTCCTAGGAGGGAGACACTATGATTACCCCCTTTGTCCTACAAGACAAGAGATTCAGAGAGGGAAGATCTCCAACCCGAGATCGCACAGTCAGGAGGAGTCCAAATTTTGGACACAGGGTCTTCCTGCCTTCAAAGTCCATGCTCTGGATCATGGCTGCTCTGTCACATTGTGACAGGTGCTATTGGGCTGGCTGGCATACAAATGGTTAAAAATAGTCAGGGGGGGGGGCAACCCCAGCAGTGGGAGGGAGTTGCAGACTTTTGTCCTTGTCTCTGCTTCAAAAGCTCAGCTTGGCAGGGCACCGGCCCAGGTCCCACTCTCTCTCTTCCATTCTTCCCAGCGGTGCTCTTAAACGCTGGCTCTGCGTTGGCAAGGAGTCTCCTGGGTAGACACAGCTCCGGGAGCTACAGGGCGCTATTCACAGTGAAAAACTCCTGTGCCAAGGTAGATGCCGCAACCTAGGAGCAAACCCAAGGGCCACAGGGCTCTTAAAGCCAACTGAGCTGAAACCCACTGTTGGCCACACCGTTTTCCTATTGGGAAAGCCCATTCAGGTTCTGTCTCGTCGTAGAACTCCAAATCTCGTACAATTTGATGTTACTTTTCGTTTCTGAGAGATTTTTGCTATAGGACACTTGTGCTCGCCAGAGAGACAGAGAAAGACAGAGACAGAAAGCGAGAAATCATCTCCTGGGGGGATGGCCACACTGCAATCCCTCCTCCATTCTCCTCTCAAGATTTCGGGCACACACATACATGTGCCCAGCATGAGTTTCAAGCCTCGGGGTCCAGGATTGAATGGCGGTCAACTACATGGGAGTCCAGCGACGTAACCATTACCCCATCTGCTGGCCCCCAAAGTTTGATGTTATTATCTCCACGTTGTCGATGAGAAAGCACGCTCAGAGCAATGGAATGATCTTCCTAAGACAGCTAGAAGGGGACAGAGCCAGGATTCAAACCCATCTTCGAAAATCTCCAAAGCCTCAGCTTTTAGCAAAACGATTTTCTTTCCAATAGATCAAAAAAAAAAAAAAATTGAAGCTATGTGAAAATTAATAAATGAATCGCGTCTTGTGCTTCTTCTAGGCTTCCTGCAGAGGTGGATCCTGTGACAGTGTTTGCTTCCCTATCTCCTGAGGGTCTGCTGATCATCGAGGCACCCCAGGTTCCGCCTTACTCACCATTTGGAGAGAGCAGTTTCAACCACGAGCTTCCCCAGGACAGCCAGGAAGTCACCTGTACCTGAGACCCCAGTCTCAGCCCATCCTTCTTCTGTCCCCTACCCTAGGGCTTCTCTGATTCCAGGGTACATTACTTTAGCTAAACTCAGATCTAGTGCAACTAAAATGTGGGGGGTCGGGGGGTGGGGACTGACCACTGATTTCCTGGATAGTGTAGCAATAGGTTTTTCCACAAGGTGGCGCAATTGGCGAGCGATGCTTGGTTGCGTTATGCCAAAACACTAGGGATTTCTCTATCTTGACGAAAAGGTTGCACATTCTATAGTTGCCAAACAAAACAAAAGGGGACTTAACGTTTTACCTGGCATCTTGCCTTGCAGGAGATGCAAAGGTTACTTTCTCTGGGGACCTCCCCATCACCCAAATTCTTACTCTGGGCTTCCAATTTCCATGCCTGCCGCATGGTTTGGTTAATGGAACCCACTACTCACCCCACTGTGTCTCTACACGGCTGACCTACAGAGGGTTATAACAGGTCTTATACCCCCTATGGGCTTAATCTACCAACCACATGAAACAAACAGTGCCTTCTGTCCTCTGCCCAGATGTTTACAGCATGTTCCCAAGCTGGCACTCCCTAGGGACTCTGGGAGCCTCTCGGTTTATTCTCTGGCTAAGGTCCCCCTTTCTTGTGTCCCCTATGTCCAAGTCGGGATTTTTACAGAGGGAGCTGTCCCCAGACAGCTCCATCAGGAACCAAGCAAAGGCCAGACAGCCTGGCAGAATGGCGTGTGGTATTGTGTCTACGGGTGGGATGTGTGTGTCGTTATTTGAGTTGTGCTGTTGTTTAGGTAAAATAACACTCAGTACATAAGAAAAAGAATAAAGGAGCTGATGTTCTTAGCCTCTTGTGCTTCTTTTGATGAGAAACTCAATGCAGTTACCACCTGGATAGACAGCATCAGTTAGGAATGCGGAGGCTGCAAGTCATAATGCCCAATGAACAGTGGTTGTAATGACATACATATTGTTTTACTTTATAAGAAGTTTAGAGGTAAGTGGTGCCGTGTGTTTTTCAGCTGTTATGACGCCAAGAGCCCAGAGTATTTCCATCTTTTCCTTCTGCCGTCTCCATTAAGTCCACACAAGAGTAGTCACTATCCATCCTCATGATTGCAAAATGGCTGCAATAGCTCCAAGCATCTCATCATATGACAGTATATGGAAAGAGAGGGTGGGGAGGGGTAAACAGGTCTTCTCATATGACTTCTTCTTTTATCTCATTGACCCAAAGTGGGTCACATGTCTACTCTGAGACCAGTCCATGATAAAAGGGAAGGGCACAGCCAAGACAGGCTTAAGTCAGTATTGACCTACCCTGTGAGACCAGAAACATTGCCACCTGAACAAAATGTTCCTTTTGGGAGAGAGGACGTGGACATAGCAGCTGCAACGGCAGTAACAAGGCAGGGGCTGCCAGAGATTCGGATGCTGCCAGGAGCAGAGATCTCTGAGGTGGAGTGGCAGAAGAGGGCCGCTAGCCCAGCACCTCAGGGAGGACTCTGTGGAAGTGCCAATAAACTCAGTTAAAACGGATTCAGTGAAGAGGGTATTTCTTTGTGCACACAGTTCAGAACACAAGCTGCTTGCGGATGCCTCTGGCTTCAGGGCTCCTAATGAAATCGAACTCCGTGGGACCAGCAGTTAGCGTAATGGCTATGTCGCTGGACTCCCACGTAGTCGGCTGCGGTTCGAGTCCCGGACCCGGCAGCTTAAACTCACGCCGGGCGCGTGTGCATGCGTGCCCAAGATCCCGAGAGGAGAATGGAAGAGAAGGGATTGCAGCGTGGCCATCCCCCCCTGGGGGGGGGGGGGATTTCTCGCTTTCTATCTCTCTGTCTCTCTCTGTCTGTCTGGCGAGCGCACGCGCCCTATAGCGAAAACCTCTCAAAAAAAAAAAAAAAAAAGAAAGAAATCGAACTCCGTTTCCCTCCATCTGATATGGCCCTGCCGGGTCAGCTTCATTCCCAATCTCCCTGTTGCCGGTGTTGCTCCTGGTCCCAGCTGTCCCCACCCTGACACCCTCTCAGTCATGGACACAAAGTGGCTACAGTCACTACAGCCCCACACCCACCCACCTTCCAATCCTGAGGGGGAAAACCAGTCTTTTCTCACAGCGTCTGCCCTGTTTCTGAGAGTCACTCTTATTGGACCAGCTTGTGCCACGTGATCATCCCTGAGTTAAGCATGAGTTAAGAAGCCAGTGCTTTGATTAGCCAGACCCTCTCAGTCATGGACACAAAGTGGCTACAGTCACTACAGCCCCACACCCACCCACCTTCCAATCCTGAGGGGGAAAACCAGTCTTTTCTCACAGCGTCTGCCCTGTTTCTGAGAGTCACTCTTATTGGACCAGCTTGTGCCACGTGATCATCCCTGAGTTAAGCATGAGTTAAGAAGCCAGTGCTTTGATTAGCCAGGCCTGGATCACATGCTCCAACCCTGAGCCAAGCCCTTTTAAACCCCTCGCTTTCTGTCTCTCTGTGCCTCTGTCTTTCTGGCAGGCGCACACACCCTATAGTAAAAACCACTCAAAAAAAAACATTTATAAGAATATTAACCTATTTGTTTCAGCCTTACATAAATATAAGGCTTGATTACGACATTTGTTTAAAGGAAAGGGCCAGCTGGTGGCATGGTGGTTAAGGCAGCTAGAGCCCACTATGGCTGACTGTGTGGTTTGAGTCTCAAGACAAGTAGCAGGAAAATAGAGGAGAAAGGATTGCAGTGTAGCCTTAGCCATCTCCCCCGAGGGTCTCCCCTGCCTTCTTTCTCCTCACTTCTCATCTCTCCAGCAAGTGCACATGCCCTGTTGCAAAAATTTTTTTTAAAAAGGTGGGGTGGGGGGAGATGGTGGTGGTTAATGAGCTACAGGGCTGCTCCAAACCCCTAAAAGGCAGCAGGATCAGTGAGCATTTCCTGAGCACCTACTTTGCTGTGCTAGGAGCCGACAATATAAATAGTCCCTGCCACGTGGAGTGGACAGAGACAGGCAAATAAGAGGATGTTGAGGGCACTGGGCTCCCACATGATCAACCATGGTTCAAGTCCTGGACTTGGCGCCTTGCTTTCTCTCCCTCTCTCTCTCTCTCTGTCCCTCTCTGGTCAAGTTGAAACAAAGAAATAAAGTTAAATAAAATAATTATTTATAAAAAAGAAAGAGGACGTTGCCCTCCCTGGATCCTCTGCAGCAGACCCCGTGTGGAGGGCTGTATGTACATTAGCACATTTAAGGTGTGGCATCCTATCACGCACCTGGTAAGGGCAGGCCCAGGCAGCCTGACTCCTGGAGCGTCTCGCTTTTTTCTTTATTTGCTGTAAGGTACGTGGGCTCACCAGAGAGACAGAGTCAGAGAGCTAGAAAGGGAGAGATCACTCCCTAGGGGTAATGGCCATAACCCCTTCTCCTCCATTCTCCTCTTGGGAATTTTGGGCACACACACACACACACATCCCCAGCATAAGATTTAAGCCGCTGGGTCCAGGGCTCAAACTGCGGTTGATTACGTGGGAATCCAGCGACATAACCATTACACCACCTTCTGGTCCCAGATCTTCTGCTTTTAACTATTACAGTTTCAACCAAGCAAGACATAACTAGGTCTTAAGTGAGTCCATCCAATTGTGGGGAGAGAAGAGGGGATATTTTGAGGTAGGGATTTGCAGGGGCAACTGGAGTCAGGGATGCCTTACTGGAGGAGGGGTCACCGTGTGAAGCTTGAGGATCAGGCATGGGTGTAGGATTTGAGCAGGGCTAGGGATAGGGAGGAGCCTCACAGGCAGAAGAAAGCACGTGAGCCCAGGCGAAAGGCATGTTCCTTTAGAAATCTGTTGATTTTCCACTGTCCCCAGGAACTTGTCCAAACTTCTTTGTAAGACTTACAAGGATGCCGGATCCATCCCTGGGTGCCTTTTTCCACCAAGGTCCCCAGCCTCGCCCCCCGCTACCTCCACCTTACTTCCCTCTGTCCTTCCAGATAGACAGTCCCTTTATTGATTTTTACTTTGAGAGATTTTTTGCCATGGGGCACATGGGCTTGCCAGAGAGACAGAGAGAGAGAGAGAGAGACAGAGAGACAGAAAGAGAGAAATCACCCTCCCCATGGGGGATGGCCACACAGCAATGCCTTCTCCTCCATTCTCCTCTTGGGATTTTGAGCACGCATGCACACATGCCTGCTGTGAGTTTCAAGCTGCTGGGTCTGGGACTTGAACCACGATCAGCCATGTGGGAAGCCAGTGATGTAACCATTATGCCATCTGTTGATCCCTTGACAGGCCCTTTCTTGCTACTGGTACTTCGAATCCACTGCTCTCTCTCCCGTCCAAGGATTACTCTCCCACCTTCTTCATCAGTAAGTTCTTTTGCTTTTTTCTTTTAAGAACTATTTTATTTTATTTATTATTATTGTTATTATTTTAATTTGCTATAGGGCATGCATGTGCACCAGAAAGAGAGACAGAAAGAGAAAGTGAGAAAGCAAGTTGCTAGGTCTGGGACTAGAACCACAGTCAGCCATGTAGGAGTCCAACGCCTTAAACACCATGCCATCTGTTGGCCCCCATTGGCTAGTTCTTTATGGTCTCAACTGTGTCTCCCACCACACTGGCCAGAGGCCCCCTCGCTGACCTCTGTGCCAACACAGCACACTGTATTCTAACATCCTGGGCATTTATGTAGAGGAACTAATAATAAATAATGATGATAATTGAAACCCAAACTGATGCGGGCTGCTCGCATTCAAGGAAGGCAGGAGGAGTCTCTTCAAGCCTAGGGGGAAAGTCTCTACTTCCGTATTTGTTTGACAAATATTGGCTGGACACGTGCTGTGTACATAAAACGGGGCTGGGTATTGGATATGGTTTCTCCCCCGAGAGCCTGGTGCGAGAAGGAAGGAAACGAGGTTATTTTCAAGGTCGCTAGTTCCGGGCTGCTGAGTGGCCATAGGCCTAGCAGAGAGAGTGAGAGCTATCCATGAGCCAGTGCCGGGAGAAGAACATGGAGGACCACGTGGATCTGCCCAAGCAAGTGGGCGGGGTCTCCAAGGCCAAGGGCCCTGGCGGTGTGGTAGATGGTGGGGCTGCAGGGAGAGGTGATCAGCTGAGAATCCCAGACCTTTGGAATTAATGATGCACGATACTCGACTTAAAATTCTTTGGCCAGCTCCATGGCCTGGTAACTCAGGCAACTGGATCCCACATAGCCAACCACGTGCTTTAAGTCCCTAGGGGCTTGAGAAACACACTGGGCACATGTGCATGTGTCCCCAAAATCCCAGAAAGAGAGAGAGATGGAAAAGGGATTGCAATGTGACCATTCCCCATAGGGGGTGCTTTCTTCTCTCCCTCTCTCTGTCTCTGTCTCTCTCTGCAACTACATGTGCCCTCTAGCCAAATAAAATAATTTGCATTGTGATATAAAACTCACAGGCCATTCTCTTTTTTTTTATCCCCCAGAGAGAGTTTTGCTATAGGGCACATACACTCACCAGAGAGATAGAAAGACAGAAAGCAAGATATCACCTCCCCCCCCCATGGGGGATGGGGAATGGCCACACCACAATCCCTTTTCCTCCATTCTCCTCTTAGGACATTGGGCACTCATGCACACACATCCAACGTGAGTTTTAAGCCACTGGGTCTGGGCTCAAACCGCGGTGGACCATGTGGGAGTCCAGCGATGTAACCATTACGCCATCTGCTGGTCTCGTGGCCAATCTAATTTTAGGGAGGCCTTGTGCACCTGCAGGTGCCTTGTGTTAGAGGGGAGAATCAAAGCTGAGAACAGCTCAGAGCAAAGCGAATGGAGAGGAGAATTCTTCACGGGCAGAATCTTGACATGA